TTTTTTTTTTTTTTTTTTTTTTTTTTTTTTTTTTTTTTTTTTTTTTTTTTTTGTTGTTGTCATTCACGCGAAGCGAGCGAGCACGCGTACGTGGGCGTATATCTCATGAGTGTCCTCTCGTACACATGTGCATCGACAGCTGCTTCGTTCCCAAGAGGACGGGGGAAGGGCGCGAGGGCGGATGACGTGTATATGTGTGTCCCGATAGCCATCAGGAGCGGCAAACAACGAAGACGTGGACAGCGACGACTAGGCCATGCCAACGGTCGGCGCTGGAGTGGTAGCGGGGCGGCGTCGGGACACCGGCGTCGCGAGTTCCTTGGCAATGAAATTCGTGGGCCGTAAGCGCGGGTGCTTGGTCGCGACGCCGACAATAAGGAGGAGGAAAGAGCGACGTTGCTGCAGTAACGCGAGACCCTCGAGCCGTGCGCCGAGCTCGTGCATCAGCTTGCTCGTGACTTTGTCGCCGAGGGGATGACCAGCCCGGCCGATCCTCCTAACCGCCAACGCCGGAGCCCCGGCACCCTGCAGGATGAGCCTCCTCCTCGAACGCGCCACCATCATGCGGCCTCCTCGCTTATCATACCTCCTCCTCGCCTTGTCGTCCCTATCACCACTATTACACCCTCTCTCTCTCTCTCTCTCTCTCTACAGTAGGTCTATGTATCCTCTGCACCCGAGTCCTCTTGTATACGCGCTCTTCCTTCCACTGCTCGCTTCTTACTCTTACATGATTAGTGTGTATATTATATATACTCTCGCGCCGTCAGTCTTACCGTTCACGTTCCGTTACTACTTGTTTGTTGTGTCTGTGTGCTCGTCCCCACCAAACTTGTCTGATGCTACGTGCTCGGCACGACAACAACGAGTTGACGAAAACAAAAACAAAAACAAAAAACCTTCGATCTTCGTACGCGCGAAGGGGTAAGAGCGCACACGCAGCCTCCTGTGGCGTCTTTCTAACCTTCAATTTTTTTTTTTTTTTTTCCCCCGATCTTCCCTCAGTTTCCGCATCCGGGATGCGCGCTTTGACTCTGCTTACGCGCGTATATATCTCGCGACGCGGGCCACCCGTCGTCGTCGCCGTGTACACTGTTCCCGGGCGATCGTTGCAAGTACACTGTGTGCTCCTCCGCAGCTAGCCAGCACACCCCAACTGACGGCAGAGGTCGTGAAAGCAACCAAGACGACTCGCGAGAGAGAGTCTCCCACCCCAACCCCATGTGTACGTGTATTATAACAGGCTGCGCAATCGTGCAGTGCCGAGGGGGTGGAAAACGGCGCCACTGTGCCGCTGCAGCGGTGGCGGCCGCGCCAGGGCCGGACCGAGGACTCCCGGGGCCCTGACCTTTCTTTTTCCTTTTTTAATATTTTTTTTTTTTTTTTTTTTTAACTTCACTTTTGTCGTCTCTGATGCAGGGCACGCCAGCGAGCTGCTGTACTGTATACTCCGCGATGCTTTCTTCGCCGCGCTGTAGGTATGAGCAAAGTACGGCCCTTTCGTTAAAGCCGAGGGGTCGTTCGTTTGGCGGATCGGTTATTGTATCTTCCTTGAAGCGTCCACACCCAAAGATCTCTTCTTCTTTCCCGTGTGTGGGGAGTTTGCCGCTGCTGCACGAGTGCCTTTCGACTCGGTGGGGCGGGCAGGGGGCTGGTTTTTTTTCTTTTTGTTTTTCTTCTGATTTTTTATTGATTTTCCTTTTTTTCTTTTTTTCACCCCCCGCCCGTCCCCTACAACCCGCGTTACGTAATCGATGATTTTTAGACTATGGATAATATTACACGGACGCGGGGGGCTGTCGTTCGATTTATCGGGTTTAACGTTCTTTTGTCATTGCCGAAGTGGTGTATTTTATCTTTGGACCAAAGAGCAAAAATATCAAACGGGGGGGGGGGTTGGCAAGTGTATATTTGTATAAAACTTTGGCTTTGTGTACTAAAATTTGATTGTTGGTTCGCAGGCCAAGTTTCATCGAAGGGAAGATGGATGTATTTTGCATCGGATCAAATTTCTCACGAGTTTACACATTTTTCCTCTTTACCCAAGTATTTTCCTGCAAAAGAAGCGTAAATCTCGTTTCTTTTCTCTTAATTAAGTGGAAATAACGAAAAAATCGGTTGTACAGCCATAACAGGCGAATATTTGAACCACAAATACATTTGTTTTTTTGTAAAAATTTTTTTCCAAGTCTTGGCTTTTCGTGCACTGGATACTTATACTTGAGTATACATGAAACGTTACAATCACAGGCATATGAAAATTTTGTACAAAAAATGTTTATCACGCAAGCAAACAAAGTTTCTTGATTGAAAAAAAAAAACCACATTCAAACCCCACGAGTATAGTAATTAAATTTGCTCACGGACGTGAAATTAGTGATAATTCACAAAACCCATGACGCAAAGAGGAAATGTCTTTTGCTATGCGAAAACTTTGTACAAAATTAGCAACTCACGCGCAAGAGCTTCATACACCTGGATGTGTGTGCGTGTGCAGGTACTGGATTTATAAAATGCGCCCACCGTACACAGCGTACATACGGTATGTATGATATTACGCATTGCCTGTGGCACGATGTATGTATAATCTGGGAACAGCGGTACATATACTACACGCAGAGACGGAATTTTTTCCCTCGACAACTATAATATATACTTACTTTCTAGTCATGTAGGTCATGTTGTTTTTTTTTTTTTTTTTTTTTTTTTTTTTTTTTTTGTTTTTTTT